CGGGCACATCTCCAGTAGGGGACGTGCAAGAGGCAGCTGATGGATTATCGATGTTTCTAACTCTCTATCCCTCTCTCTTCCTCTCTGTAAAAAATCAATAAAAATATATTTTTAAAAATTTATTTTAAAAAAGATGTGTCATTCGAGACCAAGGGCTAAGATCATCCAAACCCTCAGATTCCCCATTGCTATGCACGGATGAGAAAGTTAGTGAAGAAGGCTGGGAAGAAAAAAAAATGGATTCAGTTCAAATGTGATCTTGGAGGAGAGCTCCACAGACACTCTGGACTGCTAGAAAGAGGAACAAGTGGGTCCTAAGCCTGGAACATCACTGGAAGCAAAATGACAGAATTGAAGCTGTCCTATTTCGGGCACATCACGAGAAGGCAGGGTTCTTTGGGAAAGACACTGATGCTGGCGAGAATAAAAGGCAGCGGGAGAAGAGGAGGACCCGATATGAAATGGACCCGCTCCATAAAAGAAGCCATAGGCACGAGTGTGCAGGAGCTGAGCAAGGCTGTTGAGGACAGGACATTGTGGACACCACTTATTCATCGTGTCGAAGTAGACTCAATGGCACTTCACAACAACAATAACCTTGATATGAAACATGCACAAAAGCAGTGCAAGAAAAGAAAATTAGAAGCCAATATCATTTATGAACATAGACGCTAAAAATAGGAAGCATTCACAAACCGCATAAAGCCTGGTATTAAAAATAAAAAATACATACAAGCAAACAAGGTTGATCTCAGAATCCGAGGATAGAGCCACATTAGAAAAAAAAAAAAAATCTATCCAAGTGACCCATTACATTAGTGTATCAAAGACAAAACCTATCATCATCTCAATAGTTTTAGAAAAAGCTCTTAATTAAATTCAGTATTCCTTTCATGATTTTAAAGTATTCCTATTTTAAACTCAACTGGAATAGAAGGGGATTCCTTAACCTGATAAAGGGCTTCTCCCAAAAACTTTCAACAATATCATAAATAATAATACCACATTAGAAGCATCCTCAATGAGCTAGAAATAGAAAACAATGCTTGGTCTCCACCCTTCATATTTGATGTTATATTGGAGGTCCCAGCCCACCTATTGAGATAAAAAAAATAAAGGGGGGGAAAGTATCAAGAGTGTTATTTGCAGATAGTATGATTATCTACATGGAAATACCAATGACTCTGCAAATAAATTATTCAGCATGTTTGCTAAAGCAAGATTATTCCAAAACCAATTTCCAAATAGCAAAAATAACCATTTAAAAACTTTAAAAAGAATCCAACTTATTATAGCAACGAAAGCTGTAAGGTACCTAGGAATAAGTCTAACAAAGAAGCACAAGAGTTTCATTAACAAATCATAAAACATTCCTGAAGGACATGAAGAAATCAGAATAATATTAATATATTGGATGACTCAGTTTATAAAGATGTCACATCTCCCAAAATTTAACCTATCAGTTTAATTTAATAAAATACCAAAAAAAAAAAAAAGTTTTTCAATGGAAGTTGACAAACTGATGCTAACGTCAGTATGGAAGAGTAGAAGTCCAAATATAGCCAAGATAGTTTTTTAAATGAGCAAGAGAGGAAAACGACCTTCCAGACACGAAGACTTGTTATAAAGCCATAATAATTAAAACAGTGTGGTATTGGCTCAGAATTGATTTGCTTGGTGGAGAAGGATAAAGTAGAAGCATATCCAGAGATACGTAGACATTTAATTTTCAGTCATGGTGGCATTACACATTAATGTGGGAGTGAAAGGCTGTCCAGTAAATTGAGGCAGAACAATAGGGTTAACAGGTGGGAGAGAGAAAGAGTAAAAGTAATTCCTATTTTACACCACTGGGAAAAAATAAGTCCAGGTGGATAAACTATACAAGTAAACTTTACAACATTAAGGAAAAAAAAAAAAAAAAAGTAGGAGCCTTTCTCCATGGCATCAGGCATGGAAAAGAGTTCTTTCATGAGACACACAAGTGACACACTGTAAAGAAAGAGATCAGGGACTAGGACTACATTTTAAATTTTCTGTGGCACAAAACACATCAAAAGCAGTTAAAAGAGGAGTCACAGACCGAGACAATATCATGTTTATGCGCATAAGCCCCTACACATCCAGAGAAAAAAAAGGTGAAAATATTTACAGCCCATTGGAAAAATGGGTGGCTGAGAGAAAGCAAATCACAGACTCAGAAACCTTAATAGCCAATAAAATGCTCAACTTACTAGCAGTGAGGGAAATTCAAATAAAACAATGAAATACTGAGTCTTTAAAAAATCAAATTGTCAGAAACAAGGAAACTTTGAATCAGAAAGTATTGAAGGTCACGTGAGAGAAACAACTAACACTGCTGATGGGTGTGTAAATTCAAAAAACATTTGGCAGCCTCTAACAAAACTGAAAATGTGTGAGCAGCTAGATTCCCCACAGAGAAATCCCCATATATGTGTATGTGACACATATACACATATATTCACACTAGCATTGCCCATGATACCAAAACATTGACAGCAGCTTAAATATTCATCAATATTTATGAATCAACAGGACACATTCACATGCATGGACTTATAAATACAGTATAGCCATGAAAATGAATGAATTAGATGTGTATTTATCACCATGGAAAGAACAGAACATACCATGAAGGGAAAAAAGACACAGAATAGGTACAGTGTAACACCACACTTGTACATTTTAAAAAATCAAACATAGCAATGTTCTGTGTTTTTGTGGGTTAATTTGTTGTAAAAGTGTAAAACCTAGATTGTAAAGTTATTTACCAAATTCATGATAGTGTTTACCTTTATAGTAAAGGGTGGAGAATGATTTTGGAGAGGAGTACTGAGAGATTTCAATTTTATCAGGAGTGTTAAATAGTTCAATTTAAAAAAATATACCTGACACAGATATGGCAAAATATGAGCATTTACCAATTTTATGAGATAGGTAAATGGGTGTTTGTGATAGTCTCTCTGCATTTTAAAATATCTTTACATTTTTCTAAATAATAAAATTAAAAGAAAAGCAGCTAGTAAAGAATTCTATCTCTGATAGAATTCTAATATGTGTAGATTAAGAGTTAACTGTCTAAAATTTTAAAGCAAGCAACTTTACAATAATTATTTGTTTTAGAAGGGAATAGCCACAAAAATAATAAAGCTGACAATAATATAAAACTACTAAAATGAATAGATTATATAGGTATCAATATGGATAATTCTCAAAATCATACTGAGGGAGAAAAGTAAGTTGCAGAATAATATGTAACATTTAAAATGCACAAGCATAGATATAGATTGATATATAAATACATATATAGGTAATTAGGTAATAAAGTATAATAACAAATGCTGGAAGAATACACACATTATAATGCTGATTACCTTGGGAAGGAGGGGGAATGGTGAATGGGACTAAGGAGGGAAATAAAGTGACATTTAACTCTCTCTTCTTTAATATAAATTTTAAAAAACCTAGAGCAAATATGACAAATATCTCACATTTGATTATTCTAGGAAGCAAATACATAAAGGTGTGTTATTCCTGATGTATATGTATTTTAATTGTCAAAAGAAAACGCACGGAAGAATTGCAAACAAAATGCACATAATTCAATGTATCAGTAAAGCTTGTGTACATCAAAACCCCTGCTTTGCCCATTTTTAGAAATCATCCTGTTTGCTTTTCTGTGTTTTTTCAATTTTTAAATATCAGAAATAAATGAAAGCTGTGAATAAATATAAGAACATATATAACCCGTGTCTGATTAATATTAAAAAGAAAAAAAGCCTCCACAATCACAAAAACACCCTATGAGCAATTCTATATCATCTGCTGCCTTTTCTTATTTTTTAAAAAATTTTTGTCCAAAGAAAAACAAAAGATGCAGCCTCATTAGAAACGTGACTTTCTATTAACTCAAATCGTGGGAGTCCATTTTCATGTGTTTATCTCGCTACTAGTCTATAATTTGTATTTCAGCGTGCAAATCTGTCCCTATGCCTGTGACAGGTTAATGCAATTTAAACATGCGAGGTTTTTTTTTTTTTTTCCTCCTTTCGTTGGCTGACGAGTTAAATCGTTACTCAAAGGATTTTAAGTTTCAATTTCAACCGTGAGAGAGGATTTCTTTGCTTTTTCAGGGTTAAAAAAAATGTTTCTGATTGCAAACGCTCTGAATGAATGGCTACTACGTAGCGGACCTATTTAGGGAGGAATCGGTACCGACCCGGGTGCACAGCGGGGACTGCTGAATGAGAAAACTTTTTCGGATGCAGACTTGGGGGAGATTTTTTAAATCTGCTCTGACAGCCAGCGGCGGACGGAGCTGAGATGCCATTCCAGCCCGCGCCACGAACGATCGCGTCTTTATGAATCGAAAGACAGGTCAGGTATTAGCGGTTTTTTTTCCCTCTCCTTAAGAAAATAAAAAAAACTTTCTCGGACTCCGCCGCCGGACACCCAGCTGGCGGAGGACCAGCGGGCGCGGGGGGGCGAGGCCGCCGGCAGGCTGCCCAGAAGTTACGATCGGAGAGTTTGCTGTGCATGGAGATTACCTGGCTCGCCAGCAGAGGCGAGAGCGCGGAGACAAGATAATTCCCCCGGCTGCGCGAGCGGACTTGGGCCGGCGGGTCCGCGCTCGGAGGGGGTGTCCTGCGGCCCGGGGCGGGTCCCGCCGCCGCCCCCGCGGGCTCCGGTGCGTCAGGGGCGCGTCAAGCGGGGCGGGCTCCGCGCGGGCGGCGGCGGCAGCGGCAGCGGCAGCGGCGAGCGGCGGGCGGCGAGCGGCGGGCGGCGAGCGGCGGGCGGCGGGCGGCGGGCGGCGCGCACCGCGCACCGCGCACCGCGCACGGCGCACCGGGCACCGGGCCTCCAGCTCCTCGCGCCGCGGCGGCGGGACGGACGCGCTGGAGAACTCGCCCGCTCGTGGCCGGCCGCGCTCAGCCCGCGCTCGCCGGCGGCCCCGGGGCGGCAGCGGCGGCGGGGCCAGCATGTCAGCGGCGGCCGTGGCGTGCCTGGACTACTTCGCTGCCGAATGCCTGGTGTCCATGTCCGCGGGCGCCGTGGTCCACCGCCTCCCGCAGCAGGACCCCGAGGGCGCGGGGGAAGCCGCGGGCTCCGAGGTGGGTGCGGCGGCGCCGCCGGAGTCCGCTCTGCCTGCGGGCGCGGGACCACCGCCGGGACCCGCGGCGGCGGCGGCGGCGGTCCCCCTGCCTCTCCAGGTCCCCGCCCCCGGCCCCGGCGCGTGCGGCGCCGCGCCCCACCTGCTGGCAGCGAGCGTCCTGGCTGACTTGAGCGCCGGCGCCGGGGAGGGCTTCGGGGAGCCCTCGGGGGAGGCTCTGCGCGCCTCGCCTGGCATCCTCGACCCCGGCCCGTGCTCCGGGCCCACCCCGTGCCTCGAGCCGGCCCTGGCCCCCGACCCGGACGAAGATTCCTGGCCCGAGGACCTCACCGGCGCGCTCGAGATCGTAGAGGCACCTGATGACTCCGGATCGCCCGCCAGCCTGGATGGGGCCTCCGGGGCGACCCCTGGCGTGCGCCCGGCCCCTGCCGCGCCTCCGGGCCCCCGCCGGCGGCAGGTGACACCCGCAGCCAAGCGCCATCGCTGCCCCTTCCCGGGCTGCAACAAAGCTTATTACAAGTCGTCACATCTGAAGTCCCACCAGCGCACCCACACCGGGGAGCGCCCCTTCTCCTGTGACTGGCTCGACTGCGACAAGAAGTTCACGCGCTCCGACGAGCTGGCCCGTCACTACCGGACACACACTGGCGAGAAGCGCTTCTCCTGCCCGCTCTGCCCGAAGCAGTTCTCCCGCAGCGACCACCTGACCAAGCACGCCCGCCGCCACCCTGCCTACCACCCCGACATGATCGAGTACCGGGGGCGCCGCCGCACCCCCCGCGTCCACGCGCAGCCTGCCAGCCTGGTGGACAGCTCCGGCTCCGCGCCCGACGAGGAGTCCAGCCTTACCGCAAGCCTGTCCGACGGTCACTGCTGCTAGTCGTCGTCCCCCCGCGCAGGGACGACCTCCCCCAGCCATACTACCCCTGCCTTCTTTTCTGCCCAACCTTCTTTCCCGGTGTCATTCTGCCGAGGCACACAGACTGGTTCCTCTGCTTCGAGGGTGGGTCCAGACTGGCATGTTGGACCCTGGGGAGGGACTGGGGGCCTGAACGTAGCAGGAGTTCTTTCGAGACTCGAGACTCGTAGATCCTCCTGAGAGGGTGGAGGGTTGCCTCAAAGACAACCCTTAGAAACGGATGATGAGAAGGAATGAACGGTCAACCCCCCTGTTACTCTCCAGAGTCCTGAAGATGATTCTCCTCCCTTCCCTGGAAGCAGAGATGTGAAACTGGAATGCTCAGGTGCCTGAGGAGCTCCCGGTCTCCAAGGACTCTGGTGTCTTATCCGCCCACCAGGGTGGACCTTGAGGAGTGGTATTAGGTCTTGGGAGTGTCCAGGACTACTGGGATGGTTGAGAGGCCTTTGGAAACAGAAATGGTTTCTATTTCTGTAAACAGCGATGTTTACTAATTTATTTTTAGTGTCTTTTAAACAGGGATTCCCCAGGTTGATGGGAGGTTGAAGTCCTCCACTCCCCAGCTGCCCCAGCTACCTCTGGTAGGCGAGACCATGCTAGAGTCCACGCGGAGGTGGGTGGCTGGGAGATGCTTCTTGATGTCTGGGGAGTGGTGCGAGTCTGCTTTGCAGGTCCTGTTGCTTGGTTTAGAACCCCGCACTTTTGTGGTAGCCTTTCTTCCCTTGTGGATTCCTAGGTTGGGAGGGTGACTTCTTGGCTCACCCCCGTGTGAGATTGGTTTAAAATTTCGGAAGCAACCATAAAAAGCACCAGAAATGAAGGGATGGTGGTCCAGGCCAGTTCGCCCTTCTCCCAGAGGGTGAACCCAAGTGACTTTGGGTGAGATAGATCCAAAAACAACATTCAGGGAAATAGTGCATGTGGTTCTGGCTGCCCACTCCAAGGAATCTCAGGTGTGGTAGGTTCTGTTCATTTCGTAATGGCAAACTAGAGGGTCTTTCTCTTTTGGGATCTGTGCATTTTTGGTTCAGCACAGGTGCGATGGTAGTTTGAGGAGGGGAAGGAAGGTGAGAGTGGCTTCTTCCAAAGAGCTGGCTGCCCTGGATTTGGGGAAGGAAACGCCAGGTGAAAGCTATTATCCAATAAAAGGACCCTTTCCCCACCCCCTTTCGGACCCTTGAAGTTATACCCTCAGGACCCCTCTTTCCTAGTGCAGACGTGAGCATCAACAGTATTTATTTTTTCTAAGTGTATCTCTGCTGCTATGATGAAATTGTCTGCCACTTTGCTTCTATATATGTGAATGTGTATACGTGTGACCCTTTCGTTAGAGACGGGGCTGGAAGGCAGTTCCTGCTCTGGTAAGGTTCTCCTCGGCCCCCTCCTGAAAGTCTTGTAATAGTCTGTGAGTCACGCTTTGTGGAGGATGCCTTAATCTCAAAGAACTGTAACTGGCATCTCGTTAATAAACTGCTTTCCGCTCATTTGCAGATGAAGACACTGAAACCTAGCTAGATAAGCTTAAAGTCACGTGCTAAGTTGCTGGCAAAAGCCATGGCTAGACGTTAGGTACCTGCTTTCTAAGTGATTCCCCTCACGCTTGGTTGTCCTATCTGCTTTCTCTCTGGGGGTCAGTGGAACCCTTCTCTCCTTTCCTGCCACCAGATCCCCTCTTTCCCGATTCTCTATCGCTTCTGTGTTCCTTCAAGTGTTTGGTCCCCGCTGAATTCTTTGCTTGTTGTGTTTAATCCGAAAGCCCTTTCCTTAGCAGGCTGAGTTCATTTCCTCCTTCCACACCATGTGGACGTAGAGTGGGAATGACTCTGGCGTCTTGGGAGATATTTTATCTGTTGATCTGGCAGGTTACTTTTCAATGTCAATTCTATTCTCTTTCTGGTTGTGGGTGTTCCAGCTTCCTCAAGAGAGTGGAGCGATATGAACCTGACATTGGGACTCTACTAAGTGCTCATGTACTAAGCGAGGGAAAGGTCCTTAAGAAGGATGCAGAGGCTGTGGCCTGTGACTCTGAAGATGCTTATTGTTTCCTCAGCAGGGAAGGTGGCTCTCTCCTTGGGTTACATCTGGGAAAAGGAGGCTCCCAATTGTGGAGGTGGGTTTGGTGGTGGGAAGAGTCCTCCCTTTGCTCTGTTTGTCTCCTCAGCTGGATCTGGGTAGGAAAGGCGATCCAGGCCCCTTGAGGACTATGATTTTCCCTTTCAGTAGAAGATCTGCCATTGGGTAAGTGGACCAATGAAGCTAACAGGAGAGACTCCCACTGACTGTTCTGGAATCTGGCTCAAAAAGTTTGGCTTTCCCAACTACCCTTTGATAAATAACTTTTCATTCTCAAGCTCCCAAGCAGTGTCCTTTTTTGGGGGGGTTCTGTCTTGGGGGCTTTTGTCTGGGGGTGGCTTCTCACAGTGTAAATGCGGCGTGTCTGTCTTTGGTCATACCATCCAGAACACACCCAATCTCATCTCAGTGTGGCATGTCTTGCAGCGACTCCTCCTAGGACTTGCAGAGGTGGAGAAGGAAATACCCAGAACACTACAGTAGCCACATAATGGAGGCAAGATTTGTAGGCTGGTCTTTCTTAGTTTTCACTCAAACAGTTCTTGAGGAGCAGTTATTAGTGAAATGACCTGGAATGGGTTTTAGTGGTGTTTCTATTGCTTCTTTTTGTTAAACAGATGGAGTTTAGTGAGTGAATGTATCTGGGGATTGGTTGGGGTCAACCTGAACCTCTGGGCCCTTATTCTACTCCTGCCATCCTGAGTTCTAATGTAGGGATGACTTAGTAGCAGAATATATATTAATAACACTCTTCCTGATATCTGGGTTGGGAAACTGGGAATGAATTCCAGGTCATGCCTAAGGTGTGAAAGAATTAGACCCTCTACCATTGTTGGGGGTGGGGTGAAAAATACGGGCCTTTTCCCACCCCTGGAGATAAGAATCTGTCATTTGTCCCTATTTCCTCTTTTTTTTTTTTTTTTTTTTTTTTTCTCTCTCCAAGGAGGGAACCATATTGGAATATCACTCGTGACCTCTGTCTCTACCTCTTATACACTTCTCCCAAAGGAAGATTGTGTTCTCTGGCGGAGACATAGGAAAGAGAGTCATTGCGCGCGTGCACACAAACACACACACACACACACACACACACACACACACACACACCTCTCTTCTCTCTTTTGCACCCTTTTGTCCGTAATATGTATGCATTCCACTCAGATCCAGCTTTCACATGCACCTGCTGAGGCCCAGGCCTACCTTCCAGAGGCAGGTGTGAAGAGGACCTCTCTCTGTCTCCACTTTTGGAGCAGCCACACCCCTTTGCAGCTCTCCAGGTAAGTGTTTCCTTTGTTTATTCTCCCAATGCCAGGAATTGGGAAGGATGAGAGAGGCATTGGTGGGATGGTATTAGAAAGACCAATGGTGTCTATAGAAACAGATTCATCCATGAAATACTGATATGTTAATATTTGTTTGTCTGATTCCTCTATTATTCAGTTGGTTGAGACCTAGAGGGGAGAAGGATATGATTAATTTTCTCTCATAAGCCCCAACACATACAAATATGCATTGGCTGTTAATTCTCAAGAAAATAGGCACCCTGGCTGGCTGGAATTAGAAGACCAAGATAAGATATATGAAGATGGGATATACTAGATGTTCCAGCTTTAGTGATCTTGAGCCTTTTAGTTCTTTGGCATTTCCAAGTTATAGCAGCTTACAGTAGCTAGTATACATAGACAAGTCGCTATTTTTTAGAGGTACTGGACATAGAACTTTGCAAAAGTAGGCTACATAGGCTACTCTGGCTGATCTTGATTCATATGATTTATTTGAGACAGGCTTGCTGCAGAAGGGAAAGGTCTACTGAATGGAAACATTTGTGCTGCCTTTATTCTAAGCCAGAATTGTAAACAAGGACCTTTTAAGGTGCAGTGGCTCAAATTTCACAAGTTTGTGAGACTCTAGCCCTTATTTTGTGCAGGAGGATGAGCAGGTGGCATTAGATCAGTGAGTCATACCAAATTGGTCCCCTTTTGTCTTCATTTGAATTGCATCCTTTTATAAGACCAATGAGAGACCTATGGGAGGGGCTAAATTCCTTCATTCACATGGATTATCAGAGTCACCTATTTATGTGCCAAATTGATGCCAGAGGTGTTGACTATATAAGACCTCCCAGTGGAATGTCAGGGACTCGGGCTGTGTGTTTAATTGCAGAAGAGTGGTGGATTTTAGTCCTAACTAGAGAAAGAAGGATGCAAATATTTGTTACGTTGGGTTTGAGGTAGAGAGAAGCAGCACTATTAAAATCCCCAAAGCTAAGAAGAGTATTTAAGAGGATTGTGTCTGGATTCTTTTTTCCCTACAAATTAGGTCTATTCAGGTAAACATTTAGCAGCCATATTTGTTCCAAATATACATTTAGATTTTGAAGTCAAACAGAAGCAGTGGGAAGGTGAAAAATGAATAAAGACAGGCTGATTGAGCTGAAGAAAGAGAAGGATTTCTTTAGAAGGATGGTTGTGTTCTTAAATGACAGAAATAACAAATGGGAAAAATAAGAAAGACCAGGAGCCAACCAATCTTAAAGATGGGATTATAATAGAGAGTGGTGGTTTAGTCATTACAAAGCTAGAGGAGGTGATTAAAACCCGAAGTGATATAACAGGATAATGGGACCAAATTCTCATAGAAAACAAATGCCCACCCTCACCAGGGACCTCAGATCCAAGGAAATATAGAGAGGTACCTACCTGAATCTGCATAGAGCACAGCAGAAAATCATCCCTTTACCGTTGAGCTAGGTAAACTAGAAGGTTACAGAAAACGTAGAGGCAACTTCCAATATTTTAGCTTAGTCTCAGTGATATAACCATTGTAAATGCTAACATCAATGTGGCTTGGAGAATGAACAGAGATAGGTCTCTAAGGGAAAACATATG